AAAAAAAAAAAAAAAAAAAAAAAAAAAAAAAACGAAAAAAAAAAAGAAGAAAAAAAGGTCGCACATATATATTTCAATGGTCAAAACCTTTCTTATTTTTCCTTCTTTTATATCTATAATTGGTCTTGCTTAGTGTCTGCTTAGCTAGACTATCTTTGCATTCGCTCCTTCACGTGAAGCATTGTACTTTGCGACTGCCTTTGTGCCCTCACTCATGGCGTGTTTGGCTAGCTCCGGTGGCAGCAGAAGACGTGCGGATGTTTGAATTTCTCGAGCAGTGAGTGTCTTCACGTTGTTAATGCAAGCCACATGTACGGCCTCCGTCTGAATCTTGCTGTACATATCCTCAATGAAGGAAGACAGTACCCGCACAGCCGCCTTTGAGAGAGTGCCGCGTTTGTACACCTGCCGAAGAGTGCGGTGAATGTACAGATCCCAGCGTTGTTGCTTCTTTCCACGGCGGGCGCCGCTTTTCTTCTTTCCGCCTGGCGTCTCTGCGGTTCGTCCAACGGGCCGTTTGCCCTTTCCCTTTCCTCCGAGGGGAATGGGCCTCTTTCCTCCTTTCGTGGGTGGCATCTTATCCGATCCTGTGGCTGTGTGCCTTTTTTCTTTTCTTTACTTTTCTTCTTTTCTGCGTCTGCAAAAATACCGTTGAGGGAAAAAAGAAGAAGAAAGAAGAAGAGAAAAATGGGGAAGGGAGAAGGAGAAAAACAGTTGAATGCAATAAAGAGATGGCTCCCACACACTGTGAAAGCTGGAACAAAAGAACAGAAAAAAAAAAAAAATGAAGGGGTGAAGGTAACAAGTACAAGAAGAAGAAAAAAAACTAAAATAGCTACTACAGAATATCGACATAAATAAAAAGACGCAATTTACACTAATATTTTCCGTGTAAGAGTGGGAAAAAAGGGGCATACGTGTTTGTAGATAGTGGACACCAATAGACATGCACACAGAAAGACAACCACAGCGACAATACACACACAAAAAAAAAAAAAAAAAAACATCGAAAAATTAATACTTCTACCTTCCTCCATATGACAAGGAATACCGTGAAAATATAATCAAAAACATAAAATTCTAGTAGCTACTAGTCGAAAAAAAATTTCTTTCACCTGTTCGAAGTTTTTCCTCTTCTTTTTTTTTTTTTTTTCTTGTTCGCCCCTATAATAAAAATAAAAAAATCTGATTAGTACCAATATTAATAGAAAATTTTATAATCATAAAGGGCAACACGCGCTGATATGACAAAACGAACGAAAACGGATCAAAACGAACGAGCCAGTGAATAAGAAAGAAGTGAAAACAAAAGAAAAAAAAAAAAACCCCAAGAATAAAAATCAATCAAAATTTGGAACTCTTTCTTCTTTTTAAACCTGGGTCAAGACCAGATACACCGCATCCACCTTCTTCACGAATTCGTTTATCAGATGGAAGTGTTGACCCATCATCACTAGGCATACCTGCCTCATACCCTTGAAAATCCAATTGCTCCCGTGAACGTACCCATTTTCGAGCAATATCGAGGATTGCCTCACGAAGGTAGGCGTACTCACTTGGGGTATTATAGACAAATGCACTGATGCGTACGTAAAATCTACCTTCTACACGTTTTACAGGGACTTCCACCTTGTATACATCATGAAGTAGATCCTGAATGTACTTTGCAGTTACACGTGGATCTTGTAGTTCCTTTGGAAGTTCCACAAGAGACATAAAAGGTGCGTGACGAGCGACAGGACGTGTTCCAAAACTTTTTGTAAGCATTTCCGCTGCACCTTTCAACAAATCAGAACAATGCTTTCGTACACGATCAAGACCCTGAGCACGCCAAAAATCAATTACTGCAGGAATACAAAGGTAGGCACCATAATCACGGGTTCCATCCCAAATAAATTCAGAGAGAAGACCATCACCAGCTCCATGAGATAGAACGACAGCACGAATAGAATCCACAAAGGTCTCATGTACCCACATAAATCCAACAGATTTTGAAACAGAAAACCATTTGTGTAGGTTTCCCACAAAAATACTTGGTCTTGCTTCCACTGGTAAATCTTGAAAATTTAGGTTAATCTGAAGAGGTGCATGAGCTCCATCGACGATGATCTTTGTTACACCATGACGTCGTAATGCAGGAATAATATGTGTAAATAAAGGTAAACAAAGGGCACTCGTCGAAGTGACATAATCAAGAATTACTGTTGTACATCCATTAGGAAGATTTCGACATATTTCATCTGTAAGGGCATCATCATCCCCCATTACTTTTGTATCATGTAAATATTTGGAAAGTGCAATTTCATGAAAAACTGCACCAACCTCTTTACATCGAAAATACATCATTTTGTAAACGGAAAGGTACTCAGTATCAAAAAATACCACAACATCATCTTTTTCAATTAAACGAATTGCGCAATTTAATGCATAGGTTGCATTTTGCAAAAGAACAACTTGTTGAGGATCAGCGTTAAAAAATTCTGCCAAACGACGAACACTGTAAACGATAAGTGGAAGGAGGTCGCGGTCCATAAACTCCACCACCTCACGCTCCATGAGTTCTTCATAACGATGTTTAATTGCCAATGCACCAAGGAGTGAACCTCCAAAGGCACCATGATTTATAAATACAAATTCTGGTGTAATAGTAAAATGCTCCTGTCGGAACGGAAGGCCAAACTCACATGATGGAATAATTTTACCTTCATCATTTACTTGCTCTCTCTTTTCTCCATTCTCTTTGTTTTCACTGGTGAGACTCTTCTCCAATTCACTGCGTCCCGTTATCCGCCTGGCAAATTGTGGAAGTTTCGGTGGGCGATACGTTGCTGTATCCTTCGCGACGAGATCCTCCACATTTTCCGAGTGAAAAGAACCGAAGCCCTCGTAGGCGGAGGCGGTCTGCGAGATGGCGGCGCCGCTGAGGGCGTCCAGCCGGTGGCGGAGGTGCGCAGGAATCGCCTCGAGGGCCCATAACGGCTCCGGCTCTGCAGAGGGTGGCTCGTCAGACATCGCGGGAATCCACGCAGCTCCTATGGGTACAGGCACACAGTGCGAGAATAAGAGATTGTATATATATATATATATAAAGGTATGAACTGAGTATTAATAAAGTGGTAGACGCCGCAAAAGAGTATCTCTGAGAGGGGAAAGAAACGCAAATAAGAAAGAGAGAGAGAAGGTAAGAAAAAAAAAAAAAGCGGAAAAAAAGTCAAGTATGGATCTATGTGCTAGTAGATAATTGTTGTAATATATATATTTTGTGTGCTTAGAGTGACATGGAAAGAAAGAAAGGAGAAAAAATAGTATATAGAGGGGGGAAAAAAGGTCACGTATGCGTACACACCCACAGAAGTACAGTAAGGAAGAGACTTCAAAAATAAAAGAATAAAAAAATAATAACTGTGTAATATATATATATATATATATATATATATATATATATATATATAAACTGAAATCTAAAATGTAACAAAACAAATAAAACTCATGAAAACCGAAACACTGGTCTCGGTTTGGGTGTCTTAGGTGCGAGGGACTTATTCACAGCAAGCTCTCGAGCAATTTCTTGTACATAGGGTGGTGCTGAGTGAACCTCTGGACGAAATGTAAACTGCATTTCCTCTTCACGTTGTTTTGCCTCATACTCCATGCGAAGTGCAGCTGCTCTTGAATGGGCCTGTCGTTCTAAATACTGCTGAATGGCATCGTGTGTGATGTCCTCACCAAATAGACACTTTGCAAGTCGTTGTGATCCAGCACTAAGAGTCATAACATTAGAAAATGCCTCACGTGCTGCTCTTGATGCTTCTAACTCCTGTTCTTTTCGCAACTTTTGTAGACGTTGCTGTCGTCTTTGCTCAAAAATACGAAGGTCATCCACACTTCGACGCATGGATTGTGATCTAACATTAATATGAGGTGTGTATCGTTCCTCCTTATCGTTTGAACTAGTCGTAGCTGTTTCCTTCCCAAGATTGTTTTTTTTTCCCTTTCTCTCTTCTACTGAACAAGCACTTGATGTTCGTTGTCGAGCTGATGAAACTTTCTTTCGTCGAGTACCAGGGGCCAGTTCAGGATGAAATGTTAATTCACTCTCATACATCATTGTTAAGTGCTCAAGGTTCTTCTCTCTCCGTCGATTGCTTTCTTCAAGTCGACGTAAAAATGAATCTAAAGGTTTATTTTCCTTTCCATTTTTACGAGACAAATCACCAGCACCATGTGATTGTAAATTTTTATCATGCTGTTGTAGTACCTTTTGTTCTTTTTCTCGTTCTTGTTGTTCTTTCTTCAATTTCCTTGGCGAAACAATAGGTGTTCGGTTCAGACGCAGATGTACTGGTGTATTAAGATATTGATTTAATCGATCGGAAAGTGAGGACCGGCGCAGTCGATTCACCACAGGTTTAAAATTTGAATCCTCTGTTGCATTACCTGATACCGCTGCTGCTGCTGTTGTTGTTGTTGCTGCCACTCCTAATAAAGATGATGATGATGATGATATTGATGGTCGAACTCTTCTTTTTGAATAGTTCATATAACGGGATGAAACATTTGATGGATTGATTTGAGGATGGAAGGTAAATTCATCCTCTAACTCCATTTTTTGATGTTGAGCTTCTCGGTCTCTTGAACGTCGTGTGCGTTGGTACATTAATAAACTTTGACTATTATTAGTTGTTGAGTTAACTCGACGGTGGTGATCACCAAGATACACACTTGATATAGTATTCGGATTTTCTATTCGCATATCAACACTGCTACCTGTGGGACGAAAACCATTATCATCGTAATAGTCTAGAACCTCATCCTCACTATACTCATCTTCCCCTTCTTCCACATACGGTAAAGTTCTCTTACCATAATAATTATAAAATTCCGATAAATGTCGTTCTTCTAATTCGTTTTGCATTCGAACAAAGGCTTCTTTTTCTTCTTCTGTCATTAGCATAATTTCTTGATCAACTGCACCACATTCTTCATCGCTTATATCACGAGCAAGGAAGTAATTCTGCAGAGCAGAACTGCTGGAGTTATCACCTCTGTTTAAAGAAGGAGGAGGAGGAGACGATGAAGATACCCATCCACGGCGTGCCATTTCTACTCCCCCTTTTCCCTCTTCTATAACTCACTTGACACGGTAAGTATGATAGAAACGTCTCTATCTATCTATCTATCTATCTATCTATATTTCCCTCCGTTATAATAACAGAAGAAGAATAGTAAAGGAAAGAAAAAAAAATGTATATGTATATACATATTTGTCATAGAAAAGAAATTGGAACAGAGAGTAAAGACATATTAAATAATGTGCAAAAACAAAAACAAGAAAAAAAAGGAATAAAAATAAAATAAAATCCGCTCAATATAGTTTAATATACGTAATACGTAAATCCTAGCTACTCATCATTGTCTATTCGCTTGCAGCCATAGATTTATGTCACTAAAAGAAACAAACAAAGAAAAAAAAACAATAACAATAACAACAATAAGATGATCCACATAAATCGTTACAGCCTTCGAATATTCCCCATCTACCCACTTTATTCATATACCTATCACACACCGTAAATCACAAAGACATACACATACACACATATTTGACTACAGAAGTTGTGTAGATTGAGTGTACGAGACATAAGCTGTCCAGGGAATAAGGAAGAAAGCAGCGTACACGCCACGTACAGGTCTTCCCGATGTATAGTTGAGAAATGCAAGTGGGGCAAAAACACCCCAAGAAGCGATAAGTGGATTTGGCATCACATCTACAAGAATACGTCGCTCTACGGAGAAGGCATCATAGCGCCCACCCGCATGCACATCTGTCTCATATGCTCTGAGAAACGCAGGATCGGCAAAACCTCCGCGGAGTGCGGTGGCGGCGTTGTAGTACGCTAACAGCGTCAGTGGAGTGAGAAGGAACTGCTGTAAAGAGAGCGTAAACAGAACGGCAGCGGCGGTGGGTCCCCGCGACTTTCGGGCAGCGCGGCGGAAATGATGTGTTGGCAGTGCGACGAATGCCCCGAAGAGGGCCGCTGCGGCGATGCGTGGCCCGTCCACCATTGCGGCCATCTGCGCTGCCGTCGGCCGCACCCGCGGGGCCTCACTTCCTCCCTGAGAAGATGAAGAAGAAGAGGCTGATGCCAATCGCCGGCGGGCGGCCTCGCGGTGGGCGGCCACGAACTGCGCGAGAAAATCACCGGCGGCCCATGCAGTGATGGAGACTACTGCAGCCTGCAGAGAACCACTCGCCATTGTATATATATATATATATATATCTTTATAGTGTGATGAGTTATGGGTCTATTTAACCAGTGCACTAGAGATAAAAGAGAGAAATAGAAAAAGAAGAATATGTCAATGGTGATTATCTGTCTGTCTCTGTGTGTGTATACATATACAGCTCCAACAATGTTACCCCACCATTACCACCAACACCAAAAAATATATAATAATAATAATAATAATAATAATAATAACAATAATAATAATAATAANAATAATAATAATAATAATAATAATAATAATAATAATAATAATAATAATAATAATAATAATAATAATAATAATAATAATTAATCATAAAGAGAAAGAGAGGCAGATACAGCAAAAAGAGTAAGAGCGCAACGCAAAGAGAAAAAAAAAGAAAAAAAAAAACGACAATGCGTATGATAGGAAGGGGAAAAATACACAAATAACCCTGAGTATTCCTTCTCTTCCAGAAAAAGTGAAATAAAATGAGCCCATCATGTCAACACCATACTGAAGAGAAATATACTATGTACTGTTTGCAACCACTTCACAGAACTCCCTTTTTTTTTTTTTTATTCTTATCATTAATAACTCATTTCTCATTTACTCTGTGTTGTTGTTGCTGCTATTGTGGTGACTCCTTTTATTCAGAAGTAGACCTAAGTTGTAATTCATATTTTGCTAACATCTCCATGAATCCTGGATTTGGTTGCGCCGCTGGGCGTGCTTCCTTAATAAGAGCAAGAGCTTCATCACGGGTCATGCCATGACGGTTCATCAAATATGCTGCAGCTACAGTAACCGATCTAGATAGACCTGCGAAACAGTGTAGTAAGACTCCTTTATTATCATTTTTAGCCTTATCTATAAAATTAAAGGCCTTATCAAAAAGTGAACGAAAATCTTCTCCAGGAAGATCATCTACTGGCAGCACAAGTTGTTCCATACCCGGGTCCACACGCACATCCAAATCTCGCGCCACACTGAGAATATAACCAATATTGAGGTCTCGATATACAGTAACTGTTTGCGCTGTTCGGAGGGAGCCAAGGTATAGAAAACCAAGTACTTTATCAGGGTAAACCTTATGCAGATCAATATTTAACCAGGGAAGTTTTACATCCCAACATTCTTCTTTTACCTGTTGAAGGAAACGAGGTCTGTTATCCACCTTAACCGTGACTCGTCTGTTAGAAAATTCCTTATCTCCTGAGGAAACTTGTTTTGCAATAGGAGAATTAAGCAGATCATTAAAAGGAACAGGATTCTCAAGCATATTGTCATTCTGTCCAAGGAAAACTTCCTCTAATAGTGGAGAATAGGTAAAGAATTCTACTGGGAACACTTGAAGATCATTAAATTCAAGTCCCACCCGCTTAAGAGAAGGTAGAAAGACCTCCTTTTCATTATAACTCTTCTCAAATGGTAGTGTAGTTATATTATTATGATCAAGTAACAATATTTCCACTTTAGCTAGCTTTAAAAGTGATTTTGGAATAGAAGTCAAATTATTTGAGCTTGCATCGAACTTTAAAAGATTTTGGCAATTTTTACCTTCAAACATTTCCTCATTGAGTTCACTCAGTTTATTATCGGAGAGAATGAGGGTAGCCAGGAACTCCAGAGGTAAACTAGGGGGAACTACCAATAAATGCATCTGCGAAAGATTACACTCACCACTGGTTGATGATTCTTTTATTTCGTCCTCAATATCACATGCTATATCTTCAGGAGGAGGAGGAAGAAACTTTTTCACCGACTGTGGAGGCGCACACTCATCAGATGATGAATCATCAGAGAAAGAACTGCTATCATCACCGCTCACGTCCACATAGGTTGTTGGCATGTACAGGCGTAGTGGATCATCGCCCATTTTCCTCTTCGTTCAAGAACAAATCAAACAAAAAAAAAAAAAAGATGTAACTGTGTCGTTTCACTGTAATTAAATACAGTAAAAGAATAGGGGATGGAGACTGAGGGGGAAATAAAGAAGTCTCCTGTCAAAGGAAAATATTAAAAAAAAAAGAGAAACTGAAATAAAAGAGAAAAGCAAACTAAGAAAAGAGAAGAAAAAGAAAAAGAAAAAGAAAGGAAGATGATGAATCAATAATACATGTTTTTTAAGAGTATAACTAGATATTGTCTTATATAATAAAAACAAAAACAAAATATAATAAAGACACATACTTATTCAATCGAATGCAGAAAAAAAAAAAAAAAACAGTCCAAAGGTAAGCTAGTTCAGTATTGCTTTCATTTTAGTTTCCTTTTCTTCTTCTTCTCATTCTCCTTGTCCTGTTCGTTAATCGTCGATGATGCGTTAAGAACGCACTGTATTACCTGAGCGTCGCGAGATGGCCTCACTTCGCTGTGCCTTATCCGCCGCAAAATTACACCGCAGCTCTGATCCTGCCAACTTGTATGCATTCAGCAGTCCAACCACCTGCGAGGCGATCTCCTTTGTACACAACGTGACGAACATGTGCCGCTGCCGTGCCCGCGGCTTCGCTGGGAGAAAATCGACGGCTTCCACCACCCGCCCGGCCACTCCCTCCGCGTCCACGGCGGTGCTGACGAGATCCATCACATTCTGCTCGGTGAACTGAATGGGAACGTTGCCGAGAAAAACGGTTCGCTGCCGACGCTCTTTCCGCGTGCGCCAGAAAGTGCCATTTGCAAACTTTGGATCGTGGCGTAATGTTCCACTTGCAGGGGAAGATGCCCCATTCGCATCGGTGATGTGTGTTGTGGTTTCCGCAGCAACCGCAGCAGCCACCTCCTCCCCCTCCGCCTCTGTACCAATACCATTATCATTACTATTAGTATTAGTATTATTGTTCGTATCGGTTGTGTTTTCTGTTGGCATTCCCGCGTTGAGTCGCAATAACTGCCGTTCGAGACGCCTCTTCGCCTCAAAACGTTTCCGCTCTTTGCGTGTCATTCCCTCAGTGGACGGGACTGTCTCTGCCGCGGTGGACTCCACTGCAGCACGTACACGTTTCCTAGATACCACCGCCACTCCTTCCTTATTTTTCACCTTTCCCACTTCAGACATCTGTAGTTGTTGTTTTTGTTGTTGTTCTTTCTGTTCTTTTTGTGGTTGTTGTTGTTCTTGTTGCTCTTTCTGTGGTGTCAACAATTTGACAGCCGTCGCGGCTTCGGCATCGCGTTTATTGCGCTTTGACTCACGACGGGCTTTTTTGCGAAGAACCGCGCGACTAGGCATTGGTTACGCACTAAAAAAGAAAAGAAAACAATAATAATGAAAAAAAGACAGTTTTTTTTTCAATTTTTTTTTCTGTTCGTTAACAGTTTCCGAAATAAAGAAGAATAGGCTCAACCATTCATAATATATAATAAGAATAATAATAAATTTCTAAGAAAAAAAAAAAAAAAGAAAGAGAGAAAAGAAACAAGAACAAATCACAGCAATAATTATAAAATACCACTTTTATCATACTTTTCACTAAGAGTCCTGGCGAGTTTTCCATTTTTTTCTTTTTTTTTTCCTTATTTTTGACCTAATTAGACATCTATAGAGAAACTCTGTACGCTAATGAATCATGTATTGTGGCATATATATTAACATCTCTTTTCCCCTTCCCTCTCCTCCTCCTCCTCCTCCTCCTTCTTAGCTTAGCTCTTGCAATGAGGTATTGACAAACTAATTAGACATGAAAGAACTAGAAAGGTAAATCCAAGAAACAAAGCAGTAAGCATTACACTACTTCTCATTCTCATGTCCTTTTTTTTTTTCACTCGCTTCCCTTGCAAGGGGATTGTATTTGCCATACTTAAAAAAGAAAAAACGTTAACAATAATTAAAAAAAAAAAAAAGAAACGATCGAAGAGTTTTTTCTTTCCCTTTTAGTACTCACGCTGACGGGAAAGAAGATCTCTTTCTTCTTCAGGGAGACACTGTAAGAGATCATTACGCTTCTCTGCCTGTATTTCCTTTCGCCGTCTATTTGATGCGGTGAGAATGCCCTCATGACGCAAATCATAGATAATAAGAATGATGCTTGCGAGAAGAGAGAGAGAAGCTGAGCCAATAAAAAGTAGCTCTGTCATTTGATACCCTTTCAATGAAGGAAGAGAACTTGGATCATCTTTACTGTTATAAGATGAATCTGAAGAGTAACTTTCAAAATGGTTATGGCTACTACTGGTACTATTATCTTCATTATTATGATTTTGTTGATACATGTCAAGTATTTTTCCTACAATGATAGGAAAAATAGCCAATCCAGCATTTTGTACAGCTGTCATCATACCGTAAGCGAATCCTACAATATTTTCATTAACAGCCCAAGGAATAGAAGGCCAAAGACCTGATACGAGAAAACTGTAGAATAATCCCATCATTATCATTAATACAATACCAGGAATCATTGAAACAATAAGTAATACATGTAATAAAACAAAACAAGCACTCGCTACGATAAGCCATAATGTATTACGTCCAACAGCATCCACAATAAAACCAATAACTGGAGAACCCGCAGCTGATGCGAATTGATAGGCAGAAATATAACTGGAAGCCTTATCTGGGGTATAACCATACTTTACCTCAAAAAAATTTCTGCCCACTCCAATAAATGGAAATATAGCCGTGTAACAAAATACACATACTGCAGTAAGAGCCCAAAACGCTAATGGCATTCGTAAAGCATCCGATAATCGCATAGCACCACCTCCTCCCATTTCTCGAGGTTCTGGTTTAATATATCCAATTCGAACAGCATACATATCAGCAAAAACAAGTACAATGCAAGCGAGAAAAGATATACCACAAGCAAAAACACCAACAAGAACAGCTGTATCCACATCTTTTGCTTGTGCAATTTTAGGTGAAAAGAGAAAATTAAAAGATGATCCCACACGTGAAAAACTTATTGTGATACCAAACGCCAATGCCATTCCACGACCATCTTTGAACCAACGTGCAACATAAGCAGACTGTGAAACGGAGAGTGACTCACCGCCCAAACCAAATATAACACGAGCCGCAACCATAAGTGGGTAGTTAAGATAATGAACACCTAGCCAGAATAGAAACGCACCAATAAGTATTAATAAGGTAAAGAAGAGCATAGCTGCCCGGATACCAAGATACTTATCAATGAGAAGACCACCAAATATAGCCAACACCGTATTTGGCCATGAGTAAACACTATATAGCATCTGATTCATCTCCTGTGTGAACTCCTTTCCGTGTTTTCTGAACCGTTGTTCAATGGTGGCCCCACCACCGGTGCCCAGTGAGCCGGGAACATCGAATATATAATAACTGCCAAAAGTAAGAAAACATGCCACAGCTAGAACACGCCATCGCAATTCAAATATCTCTTCCTTCAATATTTGAAGAATTGTTTGTTCCTCCACAATCTTGTCATCTTCACTACGTATAGCAGTCATGATATTGTATGAGAAAAATATTCTTTATTATTATTTTTTTTTTTATTTTTCTTCGATACGGTTAAGAATTGTTCTTTTTTTTTTTTTCTGTTCTTTATTTCTTTGTTCGTGTGGTTCTCTGATCCTTCTACAAATGTGTCGCTGATCTCCAAAAAGGTGTTTTTTTTTCTTTTTTTGATTCTCTTTGCTTTATCTTTATTCCTCTGTTTTGCTTT